GGATAATTTCTTTAAATAATTAAAAGAACGAATTCTAGTTTGGGTACACAACACCCTGACCACTATATGTTAAATTTGATTTATCTGCAATGGGGTTTTCATGAACTTACAGTGAGGCGGTGCGTATCGAAAGCTCAGCCATGGTACAAGCAGAATCCACTCCACCCATTCAAAAAGGATCCTCCATGCAGTTCACATTTGAGAATGCCGTCGTTAATGTCATCCCCCAGGTTGCCTGATAAGGCTAGGTATCCCATAGTAGTGGGGCGGTGCGTCTTGGTGGCTTTCACCTGTTAACGTTATAGGTACCGAGTGCTGTCCACCATATACGTCGAAAATAGTGTTGATAAGATCCTGAATGGTTACACCTATTCTAGGGCTGCTCACCTAATTTTGACTGCTAATAAAGGTTCAGTTCAGGCACAAAGGACAATCTGTAATGACCATGACCATGGACATTTTCCAAATTTATAGTGCGAAATTTAAAACTGCTCTGGATAAAATAGAATCAAATGGGCCAACCTCAAACTCTAGGTGAAGTATTTTCGAATGATTACGGTAATGTAGCAATTCATCCAAGTGGAAAGGATGGGGGATTGCTCGGGGGATTGGGAGCTCCACCTCACCACAGTTGGAAAATGTTATACTTTTTCCATTCAGACTTGACTTTTCGCGTGAAATGAGTATTTTCCTCGATATTGGGGTCGAAAATTGGCCAAACCTTAAAATTTCAATTTTTTAGAAAAAATTGTCAATATTTGGAGAGCTGTACAAGTTCTGGTATGAAATTGTAACACTTTTAGTCTATTTTAAAAACATGTTCGAATGCGATATGTCTGGCATATGAATGCTTTTCCTGTAGCGTCACTTACTATGGTTAAAATAATACTAATTAAATTGAAAAAAAATTATTGGATATTGATTGGTGCGAATCAACAAAGCCTTGAAGATAGTTCCAGTGTAAAAAGCACTGTTTTTAAGAATCGATGCATTATCGTACTGGTTAAAAAAAGTAGGTATTGCAAGTGCAACTTTTGGGAGCGTTCAACTTACGTAAATCTGATTGTGGTCAGTGGAAAAAATTGGGTAACCATCTGATGATGCAAAACGTCGGTAACAAAAGAAAGCCGCATGGAGACGTTTGACCCTCTTACACTATAAAAACAACTTTGTGGTCATCTAACGGGACGGAAAATAATTCAAATTTGGGCAAGACTTCCACTTACAAGAGAAACGCGAGCAACCTTAAAATGCCGCTTTAAATTCACGCGGAGAATCCCATAATTTAATAGAACAATTGCATTAAAATTCAAACCGCTTTTTTTATGTAAGAAAGTAACACCTGACGTTACATATTATATGTCGCGAAGACATTACCATCAAAATAATAATATTCATTCTTGCTAGGAGTGAATTGAAATTAAAAATTCAAATCTGGAAACGCTACAGAGGTTTATTTCGGAGTGTATTTGGAATTAGTTCTCACCATAAACCTTATCCGTGACATGTTTATATTTTTGACTGTGACAAGAGTATATTTTTTTCAGCCATATTTTGACACGCTTTTTTAGCTGCGGTAAGTGGATCGGTATGTTCATAAGTAAGTAAAATGCCGACGAAAATTATTTCGAGTTCGTTCTCTTCATAATTTAATTATATTATAATCACATTTTGAAGCGGGTTTACGCCATAGTTTGTCAACAGTTTTACAAATTCAGAAGCTAATAAAAACGTAACTGAAATTTTGATGCGAAAATTTGAACAAAAGGTTGTAACTATGAAAAACTTATCGCAGAGTTATCCCACTGTAATTAATTATGCGCCATTTATATGCTTGTCTACGATTTTACAATTTTCAAGATTAACTTTGGTTTCGTTAGACCTCTCCAAACCAAAATTTGCCAGGAAAAAACTTTTCCCACCCTCATCTAAAGCGTTGCCATTTTGGGACAGGACTTTTTTGATTTAGTTTCTCTTTTGGGAGTGTGTCTGTGTTAATCGTGGTAACCAGACCAATTATTTCTTCCCAAATAAAACAAAGGTCCAAAATTAAGTATTGCTTGCTTTCAACTCCAAGTAGTGCTTTGGCATCCAACACCCTCCACAGGTCTCCTCGGCCTTTAGAAATGGGGAAATTTATATTTCGAAAATCAGATGAATAACCAGGATACATATCCAATGTATCGACCCATGGAGACATACCATCGAAATGTCTTGTTTCCATAGTGTCGGTAGAATGGAACAGCACCATAAACTATGCTTTTAGTGGTATTCCTGGTGTGAAATAAGACGCACTAAAGATTAGAAACACTGTAAGACAAGTACTAAGGATCTGGTAAAGCTCATCCTTCATAGGGCTCTTGAGGAGGAAATTAGCCTAAAAAAATATTAAATCATGCGGCTAGAAACATAAGTGAAAATTGGGTGGGATACAAGGATTCTTCGTCATACTCTTGAAGCGAATCTATGTAACTGTAACTCGAGCGTGACAATTTTAGATCGCGCAACAATTGTTTGTCTACAGGGAGCTTCAAGACGATTCGTATAATCGAGGTATGCACGAAAAAAATTGTCTGGTGCGTCGTGGTACGTGGTATTGCGATCCTTGCTTGGGGACACAGCCCACACTGGCTGTGTATTTTTAAGCTACAACGTAGAGCAGTTCGACTGATAAGCAGAATGGGTTATAGAGGACTGCCAAAAGGAGTTTCCAAATCTTAAAAGTCTAACTTTTTCAAGCATCTATATTCTCGAGGCTGTTTACTATGCAAAACGTAACATTTCAAAAAATCTACGTCAATGTGAAATATATGCACATGACACCCGAAATAAAACAAGTATTCGAAATGAATTTTACAGATTATGCAAATCCCAAGATGGTATCCAGTACCGATCGAATTTCTTTTTCAACTGTTTGCCATCAAACATACAACTACCATTCTGTGCTTTTAAGTCTTATGTAAAAAACCTGCTAGTCATGAACGCTTTTTATACATTTGAAAATTATGTTATTTATTGTGAAAGTAATCTGTGATATTTTTGTATTTGTATAGTTTGTATTTTTTATGTGCTGGTCTATACCTATTCAAGTATCTATGACAAGTGTAAGTGAAGCATCACATGAGCACAATAAAATATTATTATTATTATTATTACGAAAGTTGAAGTTTTTCACCAGGTTTCAAGTGAAAACTGTGCCGCAAGTTCAACAAAATTTATCGCTGGGTGCATTTTATATATGTTAGTCACCATTACGAGTTAACTAATATGAAGTGGCGTACTTAAGAAAAGAAGGGAATTTCTTCGTGTAAGTAGCCGGAAATATTGCGAAGCGTTACCGTATTAAAATACGTGGGCGAACGTTCGTCTCGGTGCATTATTGTGCTAACGCTTAAATAAATTATTACCACGAAAGCGTTTGGGTCCAAGGTGCAAAACATTTCATGGTGGAAGGATACGATTTCGGTCCAAGCTATGGAAGTCAAAGCGATGGTGTGCGGAGGGCCAGTGTTCGACCTCGAATTTTGAAGGGGCCTCTGGAGCTTTCGGGACGGCAGTTGAGATGGAGGAACTTGTTGGGGCTGTAAATATTTTTTTCAAATATTTTTGTTCTCATTTGTATTTTGAGTTAGGTAGATTTATATTTTGTATTTTCTAAAAACAAAAAACCATTCACGATTGTTTCTAGAGGTGCAAGACCACGTTCTTAGGTGGGACAGAACCAACCTCGCCCGGCCGCCTTCTCGCTGCGGGCGTGCAGAAGATAGCAAATTGTCGAAACTATTCGTTTTTCGCAACGCTTTTTCTTTATCAAACAAGCAGCATGGGGGACGGCTAAGGTTTTCTAATACCAGTGACCAGAAACACTTCATTTGATGCTTAAAACATTATCAAAGTTCTTGTGTGAGATTGAAGAGTCTTCAGCGCATTTTTGTGTGGCAGATCACTATTCTATAACCCAGTTTTGACTCCGCCATTAGATGTGCGTTTACAAGATCTTCCCGATGACACCAATTTAAAAACACTCGAACCAAAGTTGTAGAAGATGATATGAAAAAACTGAAAAATCTCCAGGTTAGTACACCACGCTCGGGGATGGCGCCCAGACGTCGCCAATGTAGCTCCATTCCTAAAGTTGTTTATTACACGGCCCCGGTGGATACATGTACACTCCTCGTCTTTTTACAAGCGTTCTTCTACGGGACCGCATTTGCTGCCAGCCGGCCAACCAACCAAAGTCAGATTAAAAGCTACCTTTTTACAAATAAATTTGCAAAAATGCGTTAAAAAATCACATCCGACAAGGTTTAGTATTTCAACAAGTGAAGAAAAGGGAGAAATGACATTGGAAATATATCTGACAGGTCAGTTATTAGGGGTATTCACCAAATCACCAGCTTGTGCAGTTTTACGTAACTTCCTATTAATTTATACGTTGCAAAAATACGGTCATCGATCGATAACTAATGAAAATCATACATTTTTCAAATTTGTATTTTTATAAGGGCTCGTGAGCACCATTATTAGTTAAGAGAGTAATAAATAGAACCTATTTTCAATAGCGCCATTCAGATAAGATATGTATTACAATGTAAATACATGTACTAAATAGGCAAGAAAATATGCCCCAAATAAGCATAAAAAAGTGCCCCTCTTATCCTTTGTTTTCGTCTATATCATATCACTACTAAGGTTATCGTATGTTACGCGCTGACGTAAACACAAACTGAAATCGAAACCGCAGCCTACGTGATCTGCTGGATTTAAAGAGTATAATATCACTTTACGCAACGTTGCCACTTTCACTAAAATGCGCTCGCTAGACTAGACCAAGACTAGAAATGCGCCGTCTGTTTAAAAAGTGACAACATGAAACTTCTTCTACGCTCGAACGCTCAACTTTTTATAATAAGCGTTACTTTCTCTCTCTCTGGCTGAATTCAGTTTTTACTTTCCGATTGGATTCAGTTGCATTGTTAAAAGTGAAATTAAATACTTACTGCCCGACTATGACAAATTTGATTATATTTGTACGCGGCCAATCTCGTTTCGCAAATACTGAAACGAGAAGTTAAACCATACTGCTGAAGTTGTAGCTGAAGCAGATTAATTCCACTTATAAATCTGTTTATAATTACTTTCTCTCTGTCTTACTCGTATTTACGGAAGAACCTCCATCTCTCCCACCAACACCACCACGACTTCACGGTGTTGCCAACCTGTTGCATTGGCCATTCCTTAATCACGGCGCGTAGTTGTCATTTACTTGGGAAAAGTCGGTTTTACACTGCAAAACTCGTTTTGATTACAGATAACGTTTATCATAAATCGGCAAAAAAGTTCGTTGCTTATCTTGTTTGCTAAAATGATTCCTTGGAAAAAATTCGGGTAGTAAATACGGTTCAAGGCGGCGGTTATCAAGAACGAAATTCATCTCGTGAAGATCATGAATTATAAGCGTCAATGATAAAAAGGAAACAAAACAAACCTTTGATCGCTTAAATAATCCCATATTAGTTAAGCTGTACGATTTCCAGCGTAAATCTGTCTTTGCTTTGCCTCTCGGTTGTTTTCCTACAATTTATGGCTGGTAAAGTCAAGGAATTACTGTTCGGTATTGAATAAGATTGAACCAAATCTCGGTTTGGTCGACTGTAAACACTTGTAGATGCGTTGAGTTAAAGGAAATAAGTTTTAGGCGTCTTCGCGGTTGAAATGAATGCGTTCGCATGTGACTTGGGATTATATTTTTTTGTTTACATTACTATACTTACTATCGCACACTTGTGGCCATACCGTAATTTTAAGTTGTCTTTTTGGGTTTGCGAGATGAAAAATTTATCGTGGGGTGATCAAAAGCATTTTTATAGGGGTTGTTGGATTGATTGTGTCGCAGGTAGCGGTCACTTGCGGGATATCCATCCACGGCCGGTCCGATCCGGTTTGTAGGTTACTGGGAGAGATGCATGCAAGCAAAGAAAATTGCTTCGTGTTTTAGATAGATTTACATTTTACAAATACTTCGCTCCAGTAACCTTGCACATAAATTTCCCCACCCTTACTTAAATTAATGACGACATCGCACTACTCATATCTACAGACGGGCATGAATGTGATACTGAGCGAATCCGAAACGTGTACGTGAGAGACCCAATTAAATGACTGATAATGATAACTGTGTTAACAAGCACGCTATTGTACGGGTACGCAAACGAATGTGAATTCGTCTACAAAACGTTACATAATAGTTATTCTGTTGTAATAAAAAGTTGGGGGAATGATTGTGGGTTTAGGTAGCTGGACCCAAATTACAAAATGGGCAAGTCGAGTCAGCCCGCAAACGTCCGACCCTTTTCAAACGTATACGCCTGACCTAGAAATATTTTCCAACAAAAAAAACATGCCACTTTTTTACAACAAACGTAAAATGGGTTTCTTTTTCTGACAAGTTTATAGTAATTTAAATTTAGTGTGTAAGCCGTTTTTGTTTTCGACCTTTTTACGCCGAGGCGTGGTTTGTTTTGTTATGGTCATTTTTTAAATCGTCAGTTTCAACACTGAGAAACAAAGTTTATGATCCATAAACGAGTTTTTGGTAATGCATGGTAATATTAATTAGTTTTAATTGCCTCCTCATTTCATGTCGTTGACACATCAAATAGTAAAATAGATTTTTGGATTTGTAAATACCTAACAAGGGGAAGTCTCAGGCCGGTTTTCTGCAAACATTTCATTTGGTCCAAGGTGAGGTAAAAAGCGCGATATTCATTGCCAGATGTAATAAAATTAAATTAGCAGATCTTAGCAGTGACGTCACTTCATTTTAGGGGCGCGTCTTCAAAAATATTGGGGCACCTTTTCCAATGACAACCATCTACAAAAATATAAATGAAAGTTCACTAGATATACACCCCAGAAGATTGGGATTCTTTAACAAAGATAGCACCCTCATATCGATCTTCTGACGTTAGTCGACTGACCTTTTACAAAAACTTAATGGTTAGGTTAGGGCTAGCTACAGAAATTGCTTGTGAAGGCTTCAAGAATTGATTAATTTTAACCAATTCATTAACGATCCTCGAGATCGATAATTTTGTATTGCTGTCTGTCCGTCTTTGAAAATTGATACACATGTTCTTCAGGATATAAGAAAGGTCGCTATCGGGCTATGGGCCAAAAAGTTACAGCCCAAAAACTGCCCAAACCTCCAAAAAAGGAGTTCTTTTATAATTCTTGTTACAAAAAACATATGAATGTACCGTTTTCTGTCTTAGTAAATATCCCTTAAACCTCAGGTAACTATGCAGATTAAAAAAATTGCGTATGCGCAACCCAACTTTTTTATTTGCGCAATCCAGATTTTTTTATCTGTTAAGATATTTAAATGAAATTTTGTACATTGGCACCTCAAATAAAAGTAAAACTGATGTCGGTAAAAAAAATTGTTTTGCGCATGCGCATTTTCAAATTTTTTATTTGTTTAGATATTTAAATGAAATTTTGTATATACGGACCTCGAATAAAAGTAAAACTAATGCCGATTCAAAAATTTGGTTTAGCTGATCTGGTGGGACAGAACCAATCCCTTAAGTTGTGTTGTAAAAATGGTGTATGTGCGAAGATCTGGAGGATCGTTCGGTATTCAAATTCAGTTGTATCGGATTTTTTCTTCGCTGTTCAGCGTTTTCTCTTAGATGTCCCACTTTGGTATATTCGTCCACTCCGAGATGTTTGATTTCAATATTTCAAATACCGGTGGCGTAGGTATATAAAAACAAACACCGCTGAAGATGCATTAAAAGGTTATTGTAAATACAATGCATCTTACAACAGTGCCACAATTCTTACCTATATCAATAATTTTTAAACAATGTTAGTCTGTATATGTAAAAAATAGTGTCTTCATTTAACTTTGCTATTTTTGCACTTTTTGAAGTTCATACAGGCCCATTGTAAAATTTAGTCTCACTTTGTTTTCTGCGTTTAGTCCAATTTATTTTGTTCGAACTTTAATTGTCAAGTTGTGTGTAATATTTGTGCCATAACAAAAGGTAATGCACTTAATTTTAATTGTAATTCTTCGTTTTATTGTGAACTGTATTACCTTCACGTACTTGTAACTAGCGGCAGGTAACCCATGAATTTGTTTGTTATTTGCTTGTTTCACTTTAAATGTTATTCTTATTTTCATTTGTTTAAGTCAGTGGTCAGTTGTTAATGTTATTTCGATGTTTAAAATCGTTTAGTTTGATTAGTAATTCTTTGTGTAGGAATCTGCGTTTTTTGCCGTGCAGAGGTACGTGCTGCAATGTTACCGTATCCGGGACCTTCAGATACTTTCTGGAGAAGGTCCCGCTAATTAACAAAGTATTTTATGTACTTTATGTAAGAGACTTTGGAATGTTATTTTTCACAAATGGGAAAGGAGTGGAGTAGCTTTTAAATCTATTTGAGCTGGATACTTTTGAGCATATCAAATTTTCTATTAGATTAGTCAAATTTAAAGTATTCAAATTCATGAGTTACTTCCTCGGATTGTTAATTTTTCTATATTGTAGATATTCCCCCTTTTATAAATCCGCCGCCTGAGACTTTAACTACTGGTTATCGCCGGCTTGAAGTTCGGCATCACTGTCCATGTGCTGTGTTGCGAGCGAGGTCTTCATCGGTGGGAAGATGTGGAAGTCGCTTGGCGCTAGGTCCGAGCTGTATGGAGAGTGATCCTTTCTCCCATCCAAAATCATCCAACAGCTGTCCAGTACGGTTGACTGTGTACAGGCGGGCATTTTTGTCGTCGAACAACAAAGCTCCCACCTCTTCCCAGCGATGAAGACCTGGCTCGCAACGCAGCGGTTCGATAGGGACGCTGAACTTCATTTCAGCGTTACCCAGTGCAGGCGGCGGATTTATAAAAGTTGCAATCAAAACACTATTGTGCCACGCTATGATAAGTGGCTCAATTTGAAAGGCGCTTGTGTTGATAAATAGCCCAAGAGTGTAGCCCCCAAATGTATACAATAATAGATTTTCTTTACAAGTTTAAAATTGTTTATTTCAAAACGTCTGCTATTTTCTGGACAATCCTCGTATTTAGAAATAAACACAAATAAATTTGTTTATTTTACTTGAATTTGTATTTCCGTACGGGCTTTTACTTTTAGAAATGTTGTGAGTTGCATAGTTTTCGTTTTAATTTTATCTCTTTGTTCAATTGTTCATATTGTAGATACGTGTTAGAATTGAAACACATATGGTCAAGTCTGTGTACTTTAATAAAATGATTTTATTTTATCGTTTGTAATGAAAGGTGAGTTTCCAGTAGAATTGTCGCATTTTAATAATGAGTTCTGCGCACCAACTAGCCCCTTCATTACACATGTGATGAAAAAGAATGATTCAGGATTTTAGGGAAACTTATGTTGAGGGATACTGAGGGGAACAATTTGAGGACGGTTTATGAGGAGAGAAGCTTAGTGCGCAATGCGCCTATCAAGGGAACTTGAGAATCATTATAGAGGAATTTGAGGGTAATTGAAGGAAAAGTTGAAAACAATATGAAGGCAAACTCGGCGAAAGCTTGAAAAGAATTTGAGAAGAACAATGAATTTGATGGAAACGTGATGTTTTCAAAATCGTGATTTCCAAAAAAATCAAAAGAATCAGATTTTGTTACTGAAATCCATTTTGAAAAAATTAAATCGAATTTTTTTTCTCATATCAGTGTGTTCATTTCAAAAGTATCCATGCTTAACACCCGATGTGATTATTGCTTTAATTGGAAACACATCGATTTACATATCGAAGGGGTTCTCAAAAATGGTGCCTAGAGAATTTTAGGTTTTATCCCTTCGCCTCCCACCCCCTATTTTGTGGTACATCATTTAAAAGGGTATAAAATTCTTCTTTATTCTTTATTTGTCGTTATTTTTGAGTGGGCGGGGTTTCAGCCAACGCTGCTCTACCAACCCAACACACTATACATTTACAAATATCCATTCCCACATCCGGATTCGAACCAGGGACCCTTAGCACTACAGTCCAGTTTCAACTGAACTGTGTCACACGGGCCGGCTGGGGAGGGAGGGGGGGGCGAAGCGATGCAATCTAAAATTCTCTAAGTATACCACTTTTGAACTTCCCCCTCGATATCCAAATCGACGTGTTTCCACTCAAAGCAATAATCCAGTTAGGTCAAGAGTTATTGGTGGATACTTTTAAATGA